GAGCCGATCTGAAATTTCACCATGAATAGCTCCAGTATTAATCGTCACATCAAGTAAGTATCAAGCACATCGATCATTCGAAATCTTCCTGAGAAGGAAACGTTATGAATCTATTATAAGTTTACACACCAAACCCCCTCGAGTTCAAAAAGTTATTGAGGGGCACTCTGGGAAGACCCATTGCGGCTTGTACGTTGGGGAACCACATCTTACGTAATACCTTTGCCAAAGCGGAGACAAATAACCTCTTAGCCTCATCAAGGGTTGCATCGAAACGGTCATGTTTCTTTCCAAGGAATGGATTCCACCGAGGCTTAAACTGACTCGAGGGACCGATCTTGACCACGTTCCACTCTCGAATCCCCGAGGTCGTCGAACAGGAAAATATGGCGATTATCCTGCACACATTGCATTTCAGGGCCCGCTGTGGCCGCCTGGATGCGGAAAGGTGCCCGCGACTGCGAGTGCTGCCCCCTAGACAGCATCAACGTCGACTCAACGAACATTCGTCCCCGCAGAGTAAAGAGTATGGGAAAGCCGAGGGGGAAGACCCTGAGCTATATCGACTGCGACATCGGTTGATAGGAACAAGAAATTTGAACGAGAGCGGCTATCCTTACGGGGAAGATAGACCGCCCGTGCCGTTTTTCCATCCATCCAAAGGTCACGATTTGATGCTTACGGTCGAACCTTGCGTCCGGGTTCCGTAAAGCATGGAAGAAGAGCCGTAACCAAGTGCGCCATCAGGCTACAGTCTATATCGTGCAATTATCGCAAGAGAGCCTCCCTTACGCAGCTGGCGGAATTTCCCACGTACGCCTTCCTAACCGAGAAATGTTCCCGCGGTATGGTACTCCCCGCTGTGGCCCGCTCGTACGCACTATCTTGAAACCTATTCACCACTATGCATGGCGAAGCCTTGAAGCTTTGAAGCCTTGGGATGTATTCGATCTTGGCTGCGGCACCCGCTTCACGGAAATGTTTGTAATCGTGTTCCCCTCAGGTCGTAATGTTTATTCGTTGAGGATCCCCAGCCATTTCTCCTGAGATAGGGTAATGGGACGCCCGACCTCCCTGCTGGCCCTCACTCTCGTATTCTTTCCCCCAAACTCCATCAACGACATACTGCCTCTCTTTTTCCTGCAGTCCTCGTGCCTGTAAGTTAACGGGGTGGCAGTGGGGCCGCTGGCTGCTCAGTCATGCAAGGCTCCTCGATGGTCCCACCCACATTCCCTGGTGCTGGTGGGAAATCTGCCTGTGCGGACCGGCCTGCTTTCTATCAGGTGCTTTACCCATTCCTTTGTCTTGGGGTATTACTAGCGTGCGTATCCTGGCGCGCAAACGCTGCGCCACTGTTCATGGGGATGGCGGGTGGCTGCAGTGCTTCGCGGTGCGGGTAGGACCTCGGGGCTGGATTCAAATATTGGAGCTCGCCAATCATTGGATCTAGCGCCTATCTACACTGGCCAGCCCGACTCCCCCAGGGGTAGCATCCAAGCGACGGGAATTCTCAGCATGTAAGGCTTCAGTGATGGGTACTTGTCCATATCGGTGGGGAGGGGAATGCTGATCAAGGCAGTATGTGCTGCCTTCTTATACACTTACACCCTACCAATCGGACCGGACTACGTCCACGACTGGAGAGCCCCACCCCTTGGAAGGCTCCAAGTGGGATTCATTAAAAAATAACTTTCTCCCATAGATCGTAATGGAGATGCTCTCGGTTCCGGAGCAAGGCCTTTCTCTACGACCAAGCTGGTAATCTATCTTCCTATCGAGACATGTGGTTCCACAGCATGTCCGTGTGCTCTCTTGTTCGTCAGGGTTGCGCGACGTCCGGGGCCCGATTATCTCAGTATTCTCAAGGATCCCATCCGCATGGACCACGAACCTGGACAGAGGTGGTCAACTTCCCCCCTGTCGTCCAAATAAATTTGATCTGTAGATCCAACTACCTTCGACAGCCTGTATTATCCTCCCCCAAGCCACGCATCCTGTCGGGCCGTGTCCCTATTACTTCGCATCTTCGATAGAGTCGATGCCCAAGTGGACCCTACGGATAATACCTCCAATTATGACTCAAAGGGTTAGGTCAAAAAGGATCTAATGATGCCTGACAGCCAGTAGGGTAACTTCAACGGGTGAGACTTTGCACTTGATATTGGTGGCGACGGTTCACATATGACGAGGCATTCCCTCCGCAATATTCTTAGCTATGTAGGGCTCTGCGTTACAATTTCGCTTCCACGGCGAGATTTCGGACCTTCGAAACGTCGAAAAGAAAAGCAATACCAGGGCCAGCAAGGTCCACTGGCATCAGAGATATCGACTGCGCAGATTCAGCAGAGGCCGAATTCTATGTAACTGCCCAAGCATAGACTGTTCGATCGCTCTACAACCTGGTATTAATCCAGAGTCCCCTTGTGTTGATTGTGAAGGTTATATAAAAATGACTTCTTTTGAAAACTAATGCTTCTCTTAGCGAAACTTGTCGTCGCTTCAAAAATGCTCGTAGAAGTAGACGGGGTGATCCAGGGCGAATTTTGAGGGATATGCTAATTTTTGAAAGGCGACTATGCTATGGCTCATCTCCATCTTTAGCCCCCCTCCTGGAGATGGCTCTCATAGGACTTGAATCAAAGCGGGTCTCTCGCCTTCTAAATACGTAATACGTGGACACCACTGTTCCCACTGGGCCATACCTTTCTCGTCGATCCACCGTTTCAACAAGGAGTTTGCGATCCTTCCCTTGCTCAGCCAAGGATGGTTCGGCTCATGCTCCAAACCGCCATTCCACACATTCAAGGGGTAGGAGCCTATGCTTTGGACTCAAGTCACATATTTTCTTCCTTTTTGGAAGGGGGTGGTACACCCAGCAAGGAGGAAGAGCGAGTCGCTGAGTTGTAATGCATTGCTGATAGCATATTCATATGCACCGCCGGCGCTTGCAGAGCAGAAGCCAAAATCCTTTCAAGCCACATACAAGGAATGGAAATCCTTGAATGGAACTCCGCACGTTGACCTCATAGCGGTCGGGTGTCTCAAAGACTGGATTTCGGCCCGGAAAAATAATGTAAACCCAATACTTCCTGAGTCATCTGCGGCAATGAGGAAATCACGGTGGATTGTATTGATGATGTTGCTATCGCTTGTATGGTTATGGCTGAGAATCGAATACACATGGGTACAATCTACACTCCTCAGGCTGTCCAGGTGCGTTTTATCAACTCGGTCAAGCCTATTTGGGGAGAGCATGAGCCACGATCCCCGCAATGAATGAAGAAAGAAAGAAGAGGACTAACCAACGTCTTGAGTGTTAAAAGAATACACCCCCACCAAGGCACCTGTTGTAAGGGCTCGAAGACCCCATTTGGCAATCTCTCCAATAACGGGGAACTTCCGCTCATGGATATAATCGACTCTGCAAGCATCGAAACCGATGTGACTGTGGATAACGAGACTGATAGCAAGAATTCCATCGACAATAGGATATGCAGATCCTGAGACCGCGGCGGCCGAAGCAGTCAATGGAACAAGAGCAGCGGAAACAAGACGTTCGAATGACCAGTGGTACGAGCCATGCGACTTGGATGGTTCAGGAAAGGGTGTGGGATCGTTCGGACCTCCGCGCAGGATAGCTTATAGGTGTCCAACATGTCAAAGAGGACGCAAACATTACGCGAACAGACTTACGACCCCGGGACATATTGAAGACTAGCGTCTCTTCGTTGCGCCGTGTGTTGCAGTGAGTTCACACGACCTGGGATAATAATATAAGATACGAGGACGAGCACAAGGGCACCCCGTCCCACCTGAGTGAAGCCTTGCGACAAGAAGAAATGGCTTTGTAGCACGGTGAAGACGAGGTGACCTGGCAAGGACAAGCGCCATACTAGTATGGGTCGTGGGAGCAGCTGAAGTTGCCGGATATTATTACGTAAATAAAACATGGGGTTTGCCGACTTAAAGGACTCATTCCTACTCGCTGGGGTTGTAACTTCCACCCTCCTGCTCATCGCCTACGCACTTCTTAGAGACAGTCTCATTCCCCATCGTACAGAAAAGCCGATCATGTCTGCCATCCCAGTCATGTCTTCCCCCCGAACCGATCTTGCCCCACCCAAGAACCAACCCTTCACACTCAATGAGCTGAAAGGATACGATGGATCTATCACGGGGAAGCCCATCTACGTCTCGATTAAAGGTCAGTGTGCCTCCAAGCGTCGAAGGGGACTATCTCGTGATCGATCTTGTATCGGCGCACAGGCACCGTCTTCGATGTCACGGCGAAGAAAGAGATGTACGGACCTGGCGCAGGATATCACGTCTTTGCTGGGAAGGATGGGAGCAAGGGTTTGGGCTTGTCCAGCTTGAAGCCAGAGGACGCTGTGCCCGATTGGAGCGGCCTCGACGAAGCTGCTGTCAAGGTCTTGGATCAGTGGTACGACTTCTTCTCCAAGAGATACAACGTGGTTGGGAAAGTCATAGACCTCCCAGAGAGTGTGTCGAAGTTCTAATGGGGCCCAATAGCTCGGGTGATACTGCTATTGGCGCTTATCTGTGTCCTGTCTAGTTCTCGTTTGTTGCGCGATCGATATCTGTTTGTAATGTTCTAAACCCAAGCATTGACAAGTGGTCCTGGTTAACGGCAGGGAAGGGATGATAAGCGATGCATCAAAAACGTGTTGATCCGGAATATTAATACCCTTTATGTGTAACCTCAGAAAATTGTCTCGTCAAACTTACACTAGCCTTTATAGGGCTATCAAGGTTTTGAGCCCCTATCACCTGTTGAACTTACACCTTGATTTGTAATTTGCTGATCTATATTACACCACTGGTTGCCCACAGATTTCACTGGGTGCCATTTTAGACAACTGTGAACATCCTCAATTACCATCCAGTTCTTTTAAATAGCGGTCTAATCAGCACTGCGTGATTGCGACTTCTTGTGGCATACACAAAATGGACCAGAATCGGAAGCCGTTCGCGGTGAAAAATACACTAGCGGTGAATTGAACACCGACCTCTTCCTCATTTCAGCTCACAGTGGAAGGGAAGAATCCTAACCATTGGACCACTAGTGTGTAACACAGAATGGAGCCCAATCCACCATATTATCAGACTTGTGGTCGGGAATGGGTGAAGCTTTCTTTCATGTTTACATAATTTATTATGTAAGATAAACGCCTCGGACTTTGCCATCATTTCAACGCTTCACAAAAACTTCAAGGCGGATTATCGATGGTCGCATACTTTCGCCACTCAACAATTGGAAACTTTGCTGATTAGTTTTTCTCCTCTAATAGATACCCATTTTGCTCCAAGGTGCGGTCTGCGGTTTCGTGAGGATGATTGGAGTTTTGTGATATTGAAATGTATTTAGGCCATGAGCGGTCCTTGACCCAGATCAAGTACAACAAAGAGGGGGACTTGCTGTTTACATGTTCGAAAGACTCTGTCATCAATGTCTGGTATTCGCACAATGGAGAGCGTCTGGGGACGTATGAAGGCCATAACGGAAGTGTATGGACTGTAGACGTTGACTGTGGGTGTCTACCTAATCGCCTCTGCCTCATTCCCCTCGATTCTTATTTCCTCGTCCTGAACTCCTGATCTTAGCTGAGTCGAGATTCGTTGTGACTGGTGCTGCGGACAACACGATGCGGTTATGGAACGTCTCAAATGGAAAATGTCTATTTACATGGGAATTCCCTACGGCCGTCAAGCGCGTCGCCTTCTCACCTGATGACTCACAAATTGTTTGCATCACTGAGCAGCGCATGGGGTACACCGGCACCGTGCGGATCTTCACGCTAGACCGCTCAAGTGACAATGATGGCGCACACCAATCCAGGCTCCCCACCTCAGAGTTCAACCCCTCAGGGAGCAAACCGACAGTCTGCGCGTTCGGATACACTCCCAATACCATCCTCACCGGACACGAAAACGGAAAGATCGCATTGTGGGACGCAAAGACTGGCGAGGAGCTCAAGAGCGTCGCCCGAGCGCACAGCGACGTCATTACAGATTTGCAGCTCTCTCCTGACCAAAGTTACTTCGTTACATCGTCCAAGGATAAGACTGCGAAAGTGGGTGCCATCCCCATCGCCAAGCTCAATACTTCTTCCCTCCCTAATATCCTCACCAATCTATCCTAGCTTCATGATTCTAAAACTCTCGATACTTTGAAAACGTATCCTACTGAAACTCCGCTCAACAGCGCGGCGATCGCTCCATTCCGCCCATATGTAAGTCTTCCAATCCTTCCTGCCGGATATCAACGGCTCATGATGCATCTAATTTGCAGGTCCTGGTGGGCGGAGGTCAAGAAGCGATGGCAGTAACAACGACCTCAATTCGACAAGGCAAATTTGAAACGCGATTCTGGCACAAAATCTTTGAAGAAGAAGTCGGACGGGTTAAGGGACATTTCGGGCCTATCAACACGTAGGTCTTCACTTTGTTGGACTCGTGATTTGTTAATGACGCTGGGTCGTAATAACGCAGCATCTCTGTGCATCCAAGCGGGAAATCTTATGCATCTGGAGGAGAAGATGGTTTCGTACGAGTGCACCATTTCGACGAGAGTTATTTCCGCTCACGGCCCTACGGGGAGGTAGGCGAAGTGGTGGATTAGATAGCTTTAGTGCGCGGATCCATATTATAAATTTGGTATACGAGCCGCAAAGCCGTCTTGAGCTTCACTCGAAACTGAGATACGAACAACACTGGCCATATGTGTACAAACCACTTATTTTTACAGAGTCGTACATAAGTACTGTCCGAGAGGGCACAGAGATTAATCTTCAGCTGACTTTACACGCATTTCGTCAAAGTTTGTGAACTGTCAAAATGGCGACCAAACCATCCTATGGTGAACAAAGATGCATTAGAACCTAGGAAGACGGCAGAATCACAAGTATACCTGTGAGATATTGTGGTTGATGCCTAGCACAGCAGTGCATCAGAAAGGGGGTGCGAAGAATCACGAATGAAGACACACACCTTCCGCGCCGGGTTCAAGCAAACCTTCACGCCATTCAACATCAGCCTTCCACCACGTCCCCTTATGCGACATTAACAATTTGCATCAACAGAATTCGGAGGCGTGGGTGCATAAATTACCTTGTAACGACCACCCTGTACGGCTTTATCTACTAACCAGTCACGGCCAATATTGTAACCATCGGGTACGATGATATGGGCATCTCCTAAGTTCTAAGGTGGGGAAGGAAATCGGCCCATGGCACAGCCCAAACAAGACCACGACTGACCTTCTCCTTCGACACCCTGCAAAGGCGGTGTGAAACGGGCTGTGAACAGAATGCTTGTGGACTATTCAAGAAGATATACTCACGCTAAGAACCAAGCACCTGTGTTGGCCTCTGTTCCATTTTGCCTCCACGCCCGGAAATGATGTCCCCCTGATAACATCGAATTATTGCTCAGCTCGAAGGCACCAAACAGATCCAAGAGATACCAGCGAGACTCTCCCAACACGTTCCAAAAATAGGAAAATAATGTTGTCGCAGGATGATTTGCTGGTCCCGGTACCCAAATCCATCCCTAAGGTCACGAGATTGAGATAAGTGAGTGCCACTGGAAGACGAAGCACTGGGCGCTAGTACCCCAAGTCAGCTTGTTGGGCGCCGCCCATGTGCTGATTCAAGCACTCAGCATTGTAGCCAAGGGATCTAGTAGTGGATGGAATTGAATGGGATTAACAACGTCCGGAAGCACAAACAGAAGAGTAAGGGAGACAACACGCACTTGGCGTAATGCCGGAAGCCCCGGTCGGTCAAGATCCCGCTGTCAGAATTACTCGAGATGATTACATTGATAGGTTCGCCTGCATTCCCAGAATATAAGAATCACATGAACCGAACTGATACAGAAAACCAGACCAAATAGTGCCGTAGCGATCTATAGGAAAGAGGAATTAGGATGGGTGGGGAACCGACGGAGAATGAGAACACATACATCAATCATGCTTCCACCCCTAAGCGAGGATCCTTCCAACCCTCCGGAAACTCAGCAGGTGCTCCAAGGAGCTGCTGAGATGAATATGCTATTCCATGAGAATTGAGCAGGAGTCCCCAACGCCGGAGAGTAAGAAACATAGACGCACTCGGCCTGACAGCAGAGAACGCCGGGGATGCGGCCGCTCCGGTAAGGATCCATAGAACCACGGGTAGGCTGAGCATCGAGAATCCTTCGACCCAGGGGTCTAGCTACACGTAGAGTTGGAAAGAGGAAATTGGACGGCGGCACACTATGAAGTGCCCAGACTCCGGAAGGGTATCGACAAAATGAAGATGCGTCGCGGCAACCTCCGCAAGTCTTGCCGGTCAATTTCATCCCAATTAGTCTCTTTTTGTGGTGCAGGCTTCCTGGGCCAAATTTGGACGCTGGATCCCCGTGGGGATCCCTGTGATGTTGTGAGGCTCATCCTCGTTCTGTCACCAATCCGGTCGGGTTGCAAGTCACACCGGTTTTTTTCTGACCCCCGAAAACGCTTATCGAAGCCCAGATCAGCAATATTAATATCTAAACTGGATTTCCTTAACGATCTGACCTAAGGTTGCAACACTACGGTAAACACATTTCAGTGAGGGAATATCATGATAGCAAGTAACAAACCTGCCATGGTCCATTTCAACAGTGTCCATGCGGACAGCCCCTTTAGAGGGCTGCTGTAACTAAGCTCTTGATTTATTTTCTCGCTGCTGTGTGGCAGGGATGCCACGTGTATGGGAGTTCGTGGCCCACGAGCTCTACCTCATCCCCTTCCGCCAGGATTCCTCGCGTTGAACGGCGAGACAAACACCGTAATCAATGATTAAAAATTGATGGAGTCCATCCTTGACACTTTGGACGTTAGGATTTCCTCCTCCAGTATTCCTTGAACAATAGCATCCAGCAGGATCATCACTCTATTATCCACTTTGTCGACTTGTGCCGCCGCCCAAGCATTTCGTTCCAATGATTCTACTTGTGTCTCAAACTCCCTCAAACTTCATTTTCTAGCCGGTGGGCCTTTACGATATCTGGCAGGTACACACTGTTGAAATATTGGTGCGGACTTCTTAATTCTAAAGAGCACATGGGATGGAACGAACCCATTCGCCTATCTCAACAGTGCCTCCCCATGAACTGGGTTCACTCTTCCAGCCCCATTGACCAAGCAGATCTTGTTGTCGGCGATAGCCAATTGCTTCAACAGATTGTAGGATATGTTTTTATTTTGACAGCCGTTTCCTTCCCCATCCTTTCGTTACGGGATGGATTCGGAGCCGCACTCAGTAAGCATTGAAGATGGCGGCCTCGGAATCGGACTGATTCTGACTTTCAATAGCTGACTGCGTGGCCCTGGTATTGAACAATCTCCCGTCTTCGGGTGGCACGGGGTACCAGTCCTTCCTGGGATATACTTCTGACCCAGGTTCGGGTCGCTAATGGCCTACGCTCTTCCCTGGAAAACAATGGTTATGTGAAGATTGTTGGGTGCGTACTCTGCGTCGAGTCCGTTCTGCACCCAAATCATCCTTTGAGCTAATATCCCTTCGCAGATATGAACATAACTGTAAGAAGATTTTTTAACCCGTGTCTGCGCTCTAACGACCATTACTTTAGAGGAGGTGCCTTCGAATCCTGACAGTGTGGTGCGGCCACAATTCCATGACAATTTCAACCTAATGCTTTTTGTGCGTGGGTTTCAGCTTTCGAAACCCCATGGCGCTTAGACTATCATAGGACTGCTTAGCATTGCTATGCTGGAGGGGTTGGCGGTAAATCTAATGTTCACAATAGTTATCCCGGAAAAGATGCCCAGTCTACGGAGTGTGCTGCCACAATCGGCTCTGACAAATGGACTGCTATCAAATGGCAAACAAACACCCCTGGATTTGGGGCCGATCTCTCAGCCTTGATGTGGTTGTTGGCGGCCCAACCTGATGTGGCGGGTTTCACCATTCCGCCAAGAGATCTAAGCCGTGCTTCTCACTCTTAAAATCAAGGGGGTTCTTCTCGGGTCTGACAGTTGTGGTGACCCAGGGTTCCGGGTGTCGTTACCGTCTCTGGCGGA